TGGAGCTCAGGCAAGTGTTACCAAGAAATTGTAGTTTCCACGATAATCCACTTCTCCTCTATCGTGTTCCATTAACCTCACAGTTTACACACACGCACAGTCTTCGTCTCAGCCCACACAGGTCTCCACATACACGCATGTCTGTCAGCGTCAAGGCCTGTGTTGTCCAGCTCCATTGTGTCTGCATGAGGCTGAGATAATGGCATCTGTCGCTGCTCCTTTTGTCAGCACTGTCCCTGGCCCCTGCTCACTGCTAGTCCCCATTAGCTGGCTGGTGGCCTGCTGGCCCCTACGCTCCACGCTCTGTTGCCTGACCGAGAAAATACAAGAGACGCCTGTCCCTTCCTCTAACTCCCACTTTTGTTATCCTTCTTCCCTCTCCTGTCTTCATCCAGATCCTCCCACTGCTGCAGATTAAAGGTAGTTGAGTAGTTTGGTAAACTGTAGAGGTGTAAACTTAAATAGCAGACTGTCTAATGTTGGTTGATTTGTAGGGAGATGAAAAATAGGATTTCTTAGTACAAATAAATTGTTCCAACACCATAATATACACTGAATTGCCCCACTTTTTTGCTAGAGCATTTTCCAGCACAGGCACTTATAGTTTATGTTGCAGATGGATCAGCCATATCAACTTTAGGACTACTACTAATCACTATTGTCATTATCAATCCATCTGCTATTAATGTATGCAATAAATTTATGGCCTATTAAATGCAGAGGAAAGTTCTCAATTGATTTCTTAAAGCCCAAGTTGATGCCATCAAATTTATTGCTTTTCACAATAAAAAGTAACAACTCTTCATATTGAGCTGATGTGATTAAGGGCTTTGGAGGGACTTATGCTTGGATCTTGAGTTAAACAATTAAGATAACAACAAAATTAATTGATTATAAATACAGTATAGTTGACTAATAGGTTTTCTGTCCAACGGCTTGAATAGACTAATTAATCAGATTAACTCAATCTAATTAAAACAATTTTAAAAGGAGAAGAGATAAATCTTGATGAGAAATCTAAATAACTCTCATTCCGAATGGAAACAGAATAAAACACTTAAGACAGTGAGGTTTGTTTTACAATACCTAACCTATGTTTATACTCTTAAGGATGTGAAAGTGCCTCTAAATGCAATGGCTAAGTTTGAATGTGCAAGCTGCTACTGTAATATCTGCTGTTATGTAATTTTTATAACCCATATTTTTACACTTGGAAATATTTATTTGTGTTTTGAGATTTAAATGTTACTTTATGGATGTGCTGCAATAAACTCATAATCTCAACTTCAAATCATGTTATCGTTGCATTATGCAACTTTATGAACAACTAGGGACTTCTTCACTTCTCATTTTGACCAGAAGTGAAGCAGCACTGTGGAAAACATGACGTGAACTGTCAGACGCGTGCTGCTGAGAGCTCTGTTTGCAGACTGTAGTACAGTAATGTCAGACAATCTCTAAACTGTCCATCTCAGCACCAGCTTTCCTTGTCTACGCCGCATAATTACACTCAGTGGAGCTGCGTTGCCTTACAATATAACAAATGAAGTCTGTATTACATCTGTCACCTACCTGAGCTGCCTCACTTGGTCACATCATTTTCCCTGTCTCTAATAAGCATGGCTAATAAAATGTAAAGATGGGAGATAATGCAAGCTGACTGAGCTTTATTAAGAATGTAATGGCAATATCATTGTTGTAATGATACTAGGACATCTAAGAAGAAGGGTGGACTGGCATGAGGAAGTGAGCGTGACATCACAGGCAAAAGTATATTCTGCTCCCTTTATTTCATTATTGCTAAAGCTTCCTTATTAGGGACAGGGGGTGAAGCAGTGTTGCCTTTGATAAAGCAAGGCAATTTCAGCAGCTGCTACAGAACCAAATTACAGTTGTACATCATGCAGTTCACTCTCTACTGCTTCCTCAACTTCAGTCTTGCTTTTCTCCAGGTCTCTCTATGTGGAAGTACGGTGTGTGTGATATTGATCTGCCTGCACTGTGAGGCAGAAAGACCGAGATAAGAGTGGGGGGAACAACAGCTAAAACAGCAGACAACAGCCCCATCTAGAGGCTTTATTAAGTCACTGTATGACTGAGTGGACATCACAGGATGCATAGTGTACACACACACACACACACACATACACACACACACACACACACACACACACCCACACACACACACATACATTTTTGATTAGAATTTCCATTCAAATCATACTGGACATTCTGGCTTCTGAAATGAATTTAATGAAATCAATTTAAAATTCAGAAATGGTCGCTATTTGTCATTTTTTTATAACTAAACAGACTCATTCAAAATATGACGCATCATAAAGTGAATGCTGTTATCAAGGATGAACATGCTTACAAACAGTAAAGGACGTTAATCATAAATGCTTGTGATAGAAGGGCTATTTAGAATTTGTCTAATAAACTGTAATCCAACATTTGCACTACTGTCTTGCACTATGAAACAAACATTTTGCAGATTTTATACACCTGGTTTTTGCTGATATAAGTGCAATAGCTGTTCTGTAAATTGCTAACAAGTGTAATTTCTCTTTCAAATGCATTTTTTTCTATTTAACTTTGTATTGGTTCCTCGTTTGATTTGTGACTAGTGCATCAAAACACTTTATATTATTATTGTTACATATATAAATGTATATAATGTTCATATAATGTATATGATTTTGCATGTTGATGTATACAATTTTGTAGTTTTGTTGAAATTCTTTTAAGGTTACTCATCTATGCATCTGTTTTTGTATTTCTGCTAGACATGGGATTAATAACATTTTGACTTTTTAATCATATCCACAAACTACACTATAGCCTTTAAATAATTTCACTGAGGGCCCTGCACCTGCTCAGTCTGATGACCTTCAAAACATCTTCATGATGACCTCTGCCCTTCTCTGAACATAAAGTGACTTGCAGATCAACAAACCATCAGGTTGACAGGCCTAACCTATATGCCATTAGGTCGTGGAGATATCACACTCTGCTTTAATTCACCATCTTTCAGAGTGTCACACTTTATATTCCTTGGCATGGGTAGGCTACATGAGGATGCATAATTTATCTCAAATTAGAGCCTGTTTGAGTAAGCATCAAAGCAAGGCGGCTAAGGTTGGAGGAGAGCTTAAGGAACCGCAGGGAAACCATCGCCAGGATTAATGCAGGAGATTTTTATAAGAAATTACTGGCTTAATGAAGTGGATAAAAAAAGCTGTCAGTGTTTTATTGCATCTAAATTGTGTGGAAGTGATGTTTAGCTGTCTCGCCTACTCCCCACATAATGGGTCGTGACAGTAGCTTTGAGGCTTATTTAACTTAACTGGTGAATAACTTGCATGGCGAAGCTATTCACCAAGTTGTTTTTATATGCACCGAGCCAGAAAGGGGATTTTTCTTGGCTCCTTTCTCACTCATTACAATTCCATATGAGCAACAGTCAACTCAAGTAAACTGACAATTAACAATTTATCTAGTTACTTAGTTGAATAAAATTTGCAAAGGTTAAAAAGATCATTTAGGCTGTTAATGCAGAAAATATCCAGTCAAAAACTTAGAGTGGACGTGAGCTAAAGCCTGTTTCATCAGTACTGACTAATCCGATTTACCCTATTATGTTCATACTGCAGGGCTAATAAATGAAACGGGGTCCATTTACTGCTGGCTCTGGTTACAGAATCTGCTGACATTTAGAGTTGAACCTTAACAGGCTGTACAGTTCATCACAGAGGTTCGGTAAACGATGTATGCTCACTGTAAAATTAACAAGCATATAACACTTATTGGTCTTGGAGCAGAGACAAAAATGAATAATACACTGAGGGGGGGGGGATGCTTCAGCAGTCCTGCAGCACCATCTCCTGTTTCTTTGTGGTCTTGCATTAGATTAGACAGACTTGTCAAACTGAATCCAAACAGTTCTTCGTTTGCTAATGGTAAAATTATTTGGTTTCCGGAATGACTTTTTTCCTTCCTTAAATACACTCCTGGGCAAATACATACAATAATATAAACAAAATTTTAATTTTCATTTATTTTACACAGTATCACAATACACAAAACCAATCATCCATCAAATTGATATGCAAGTGTTTATTTTCATTAACTGATGACGATCTCAAGCCTGTTACAAGAAGCAAGTTCAGGGACATAACCTGGAGCCCTCTGCAGAATAAAACCCACAATACCTTCAGATCTGGAACACAATACTGGGTTTTACTCAGCAAAGTTATCCAGGAGTTAGTCCTGCTTCATGAGTCAGGTTTCTGGTCTTTCGATACAGTCAGTCCTAGTTCCCACATGTCACCCTGCTATAAACAAACAGGAAAAGGCAGGCATGAACACCTCATGTATTATTATAATGCCAAGAGTAATGAAATTTGGTCATTTTCTCTTCCTTTATTGGTTACATTTTGTTTGGTTAGTTTCCCACCTTTAGACACAATGAAGAGTGTTAAGGTTGACAACACGCTGAAGTATGCATGCTCGGAATAAGTACATTCTGTTTTGTTTTTTTAAATCCTGCTAATCAGAGCCAAACTAAGTACAACATATAGGTTAGTCTTGGCCAAGACTGAAACTGTAGGTGGAAAAACATGCAAGTTTCAACCAGTTCTATCATCCCAAAATGTCTTGGGCTGTCAATCCGGAGTGTCAACCCTTTCTTCAGCCCTGCACCTCAGCCATACCCAATACATTCCTTACATAGCATAGCAAATACAGTTTTAACCATGACATATTTTCTTGTTTCTTATTTATTTAAAGGATAATTTGGGGTTTTTTTTTTTGACCTGCTGTATTTCCCCCTAAAAGTCAATATGGTGACTCTATAGCTAGTGCTAATCTTGCTATCACTACCTCTGTTGTAGAGATTCGGGGAAATTAAAAGTTGCATTAAACACTGTCGGAGTGGTTCACCTCTGAAAGTGATCAGAGTAAACATGTCAGTCAAATCACTGTTCACACTTATGTATGATTTGACTGACATCATGTTTATTCTGAGCTCTCGGAGGCCAACCGATTGCCCAGATGACGCTATTTAACTCATTTCACTGAATCTCTACAACAGAGACCATGACATTAGCTCTAGAGGCACCATACAACCTTTAGAGAAATAGAGCAGGTTAAAAAAAAAAAAGTTATCCTTTAATATTTTTGGCAGTGCTTTTGCAAAAACATTTCTATATTTCCAACCTATCAAAGTCAGTCAAAAGTTTGATTTTCATTGGAGCACAGAGAAAAGTTACTTTCACTGATTGCAAAGAGTTTAATTATACTAAGCTGCTGTTACTGACAAGACAAACAGATATAAAGAGCCTTCACCAGTACAAACAAAGAGCCCAGTCTGGGATCTAATCTAATCTTTCATTGAAACACACACACACACGCGCACGCACGCAGACCAATTTAGATGGACAGCCTGTTCATAAAACCTTGTTTTCCTTTCATAAGTGAAACCAAAAAAGTGAGTTCTGGGCAGCATTCAGGTCGGGTGAGGTGAGTGTCAGTGAGAGAAAGCTTGCACTCCTGTCAAGCTTCATCTATGTAAGGCCATCTCTGAACGTGTGGGTAAGGACTTGCAGTTTACATCCACCATCTTTTATATCAGCACAGAAGTGGTCAGCGTGGGTTTATCACTAGACAGATTCCTGCAAACTGACATCACAGTTTGTCCATAGAAAGAAGTTACAACGAAGGTTTGTCTTCCCTCCTTACATTGTTCATACAGAAAGACCAGCAGCTAAATATCACAGCCTTTGACCGCTTTAGGAAATCCAAAGTGACAACCAACACCTTTTTCTGTCCAGGTGCAGTTTTACTCTCTAGACTTCCTCACAGCCAACACGGTGCTTTGCATTTGCCTGAAAAGGATGCTTGAATTTCCCTTCCATTTCAGCCTGACCCCTCTTGTGCTCCAGTGCTGCTCCCATGCTCTCTTGGCTCAAGCCATCTCAGTGCTTTAGGTGCTGGGAGCAAGGGATTGTGATCGGTGTGCTGGTGAGCCCCAGTTTAGTAGTCTCTCCTCCACAGGCTCCCTGGCCCTTCTCTGCCTTTCCTTTCCTCTTCCCTCTTTTTGCATCTTTTTATTTTATATTTTGCATCAGTGTCTAGACAGTGTTGAGTGGCGTGCCGTTCAATGCAACAGCCTTGTTGCAGGGCGAGCCCACAGCCTGGGGGCCCACTGGGCGCTGGGTGGAAACGCCCACCTCAAACACTTCATGGATGGCCTTCCGGAAACAGTGGAAGTTATAGTCTATCAATCCTAAGGAGACAACGATAAAACTGCTTAATAGTTTTTTTTTTTAAATGACATGAAAATCATACTTTCCAATACCTACAAAAAATTTACTACATCATGACTAACAGAAAAAACTATTATCTGATTTATTCATTCACATAGAGTCAGTAGGTTGCGTCATGTTAGGCTCAACTATTATGCTGTAAGAACAAGAAAAATCTGGGCTGTAGGTTGTGGCGTTGTTCTGTATTGTAACAGGAACATATAATGTAATAATATTTGTATGTACAGTCATGTGAAAAAATTAGGACACCCTTTGAAAGCATGTGTATTTTGTAAAAATTTTTATATATGGTTATTTAATCTCCATTTTAACAATACAGAGAGATTAAAGTAATACAACTAAACAAGTAAAACTGAAGAAAAGTCTTTTCAAGATCTTCTGTAAATGTAATTCTACAAAAATGCCTATTCTAACTGAGGAAAAAGATAGCACACCCTCACATGTATGCCCTCTTAAAATGGCTCAAATCACACACAGGTATATCACACCAGGTGCACATAATTAGTAGATCGTTACTCAGCATTTT